CCCACTGTATGTCAAATACGAATATTTCAACCGTACTCACCTCACCTTTTTCCAGCTTTGTGTCTGTCTCTTTTACATCTTTGAAACACTCTTCTGTCCCCCCCCCCATCTCGACCTTTTTCACTTCGATGTCAACTGAAGGGCTAATGATAACTATCAAAACTCCTGCCATTTGATATAAATAAATAAATTAAGTTGAAAAGTTAGGGGAAATGGTGTTCTTTGGCTGAATCAAAGAATACCATGATCGGTAGATGATCGGTGATCTTATGGTCATCACGTGTGGACGTGAAGCCGATTACAGTGGGAGGGAAATGAGTTCACGAATGCAAAGGACCTCTCAGTCAACGCAGTTGAAATGGTATTAAATGACTAAGCTCCGGGCCAATGACACACAGCCCAAATAAACGTGTTCCACGCCACGCGTCTGTTTCCCCCTACATCGTCGATGCGAGGAACCTTTCCATACAAGAGGATTTCAATAAACTTTGAACTATTAGATTTAACTATGGTGTGATATTTTACGGTTGTGATAAAAGCAAGCGAGTCTAGGACATAAACTGAAATAAGACACCAAAAGGTGTTATTCATCATAATTTTTGGCCAAAATTTAATTATGGGAATGAAACACAGCCAGATGAGATCATGAAAGTGGTGTGATTGAGCTCAAGTAAGCTGGAGAGGATGCCAACGAGCTCCGTAAAAATAATTATAAACACTGTGGTAGATTAAGTTCGGGTCGGACCACTGGTAAATCCCACGACAATCCACAGGTACTTTAACAATTGTGGATTAAAATTTCATGGAAATAAAGAGGCTCTTCATATCGAATCAAAACCACAGATGACCAACCGAACCCGTCACACCATCGCCATAAAGTGTAGGGTGAACTTTGTTCGCTCTTACAAATAATTACGACAGGAATCCGGCAGCAAAACGACAACACGATGTCCCTTTCCAAGGCCAGCCTTTCTTATCGCTTTGATAGCACCCGCCAGAGCTGATCCGCTGCTACCACCTAAAAGAAAAACAAAAAAAGTAAAACATAGAAAATTTAAAGCCCCTATTTCATGAACACGCACCAACAAGAAGACCCTCAGAACGGATAAGACGTCTGGCCATAGCGAAAGCCTCCTTGTCTTCAACACGAATCCACTCATCGACGGTTTTAAGACAGAGCACAGTGGGCATGAACTCGTACCCGATGCCTTCAACTTCATAGGTACCAGTGAAATCGTCAGGACCAAGGAAGGGCTCTGAGAGAGCTGAACCCCGAGGATCGATTGCTACTGTCTTAAGAAAAGAGAAATTCCATATTAGTGGGTAACATAATATGCTAACCGAAAAGACGAGTGTGTAACTTTGATTAGTCAAGATAAACATCAAGGAATTCAAAATAACTAGCCTAGTCTGAAAGAATACATAGTATAGATAATCTATTTTTCTAATCTGCTAATGTGTGCCGGTTTTACAGGAAAATCCATCATGCTCCTCTTTGACGTCATTCCGTAAACATTCAATGTGCGCAATGGGCAATCACACTAAGTCTGACGAGACAGAATTCGAGTTTCTCACCAAGGTTGCAATGCGAACCGCCTTTCTAGATAGAAACATACTACAATCAGGACATCAGCTGTCAATAGGGTTGAAGTATCTCCGTGCTGAGTGCTCCAGGTGTTCCAAGTAAGTGATTAATGATCTTTTCCATTTCTGAAGTAAGTCTTTGTCTCATTCACTACCAATCCGGTTCCTATTTATAACATCAGCAATGGGCAGGTAATTGGACCCAATTGGAATTACCTTGAAGTTGATAATTGTCAGCTCTCGCTAAAATATGTCAAATGTACACTTTGGTACGAATTTCTGACAGAATTTCGTAACTGCATTAAATAGTACTGGCTTCGTCAATTTTATGCCGGTAAAAAGATGCGATTATTTTATATTCCAGCCAACCAGTTGAGGATATAAGTCTTTTCTTTTTTCATTAATATAGCGTATTAGATCTTTTGCTCATATACGAAATCTAAAGTGTTAAGAAATAGTACTTATCTACACCTTGTTGATTTTTTGAGTAATGTTAAGAAACATTTCATCGAATCGTTACTTGATTTAGTAAATACGGGCAATTGTAAAACCAAATAGTAATAAATAAACAAACTTTTGAATAGAAAGTAAATTATTCCTTCCCTTTATAAAAGAATAACATTTTAATGTTATTATCAAAGGTACTGTTTCTAATTGGTGCCTCTAGAGTGAAAACAATGAATGCACTAGACACTAGGTGGTTGAACGCAGCCTACCATAACAAATTCGGACTTTCGACGTTCAAGTTAACAGCATGCCATGAAACTGGAAAACAATTTATTCGAATAACTACATAAGTACCTGTAAGTGCCGTCAAAGTGTCATTTTCATAGAATACTAGAGTACAGAGCGGTTCAATAAGTGATTAGGCAAAATTTAAAATTTTAGCAATACCTCATAAAGTGCGTTCTTCTAATATTCTATTTGTAAATCTTGGATATTGAAATTATCTTGTTATAAAAATACAGGCCTTCTAATAAAAAAATCGAGTACATTAGTCTACGACTTTAAGAAAATTGGGAAAGAGTAAAACTCGATAAAAGTTGTCTAGGCGATGAAAAAATCGATAAGGCCATTTAATTTCTCATGACTGAAATTACAAGAAATCGATAAATACGACGGATTTCCGGATAACTCAAAAGGACTACTCTTGAACTTTAACTAAGAGTTTGGAGATAAATTTGAGCAATATTCTGAATGTTCCCAATTGAGAGCAAATGAAATAAAACAATGAATCCCACGGGTTAGCCCAAAAAAGGATCATTAATCAGCACAACTAAGTTGTAGTTAGAAAGACGACAATGAACATTGGAAATGCCACGGATAGATGCAGAAAATGACAACAATTGGGAAAAACATCAGTCACTACCGATCACGAAATGAACCAATGTTTCAGAGAACTGAAAACTTTGAACATTTTCAGACTGCCAAGTATACAATAAGTAAATTATAAGCATCCATATATTATTATCAACTAATATCTTAGATACGACTTGTTGATGATGAACTTAATTAAATATGCATGTTAGAAAAACAATACCACAATTACCCTGCAAGATGGGAGTTTATTTTTGAAGAGACGACTGATTCCAGTAACTGTTCCTCCGGTACCAGCTCCACAGACAATCATATCGATTTTAGGCTTCCCGTCTGGTTGCCCTTCAGCACAAGCGTCTAAAATTTCTTGACCAGTAGCATCATAATGAGCAATAGGATTATAAGGATTCGTATATTGATTAGGAATATGGGCTCCCGGCGATAACTCTTCCTTCAAAGAAGCAGATCTTTGGAGATGAGATTCGGGGTCATCATACATCGCTTCTCGTGGTGTTCTTATGACTTTTGCACCGAGAGATTTTAGGACTATGGACTTCTCTTGACTCATTTTGTCAGGCATAACAATGTAACACTTATAATCCTTGACAGCAGATGTTAGCGCAAGACCAATACCTATTAAAAAAATAAGACTTAAAACAAAGAACATGAGAATGTTTAGGTGTTTCTTTAAATTCTAACCAGTGTTTCCTGAAGTTGGCTCAATTAAGGCGTCACCGTGGTGATATTCACCCGACCATTCACCCTCCTCAATCATACGTTTAGCTATTCGGTCCTTGACACTTCCTCCAGGGTTGAAGAATTCACATTTGACAACTGGAATTAGAATGAAAACCAGCATAAACTGTTAATGAAATCCTTAGTAAAGTTAAAATTGTTAAAAATTACGAATTTCACATTCGAGTCCTTCTTCTTTTGGAATCTTATTTAAACGCACAAGGGGCGTGTTTCCAATGTATTCTAGAATGTTGGAGCCGATTGTTGGACGTTCCGGGCTAAAGAAAAAATGGTGTTACATCCATAACACATGAGAAACAGAATATGATCAGCTTACACAGGAACATGATGATGTGGAGAAATAGCATCTGTTTTATTCGTGTCATATGTGCATTTACTGGGTAAATCGGGACGCAGAATATTCTTATTTCCGTTTTGGCAGCTCCTAGAGTGTAAAAAATGCAAGTAAAAGAATGAAAAGATAATTAAAAATAATATTTAGTTCAAACAATAAAACGTTACATTTTCAATAAATAACTGCAACGAAATTATCCAATGAATAAATACCGGCGCAGAAAAGGTCAAGAGAGAATTAGGCATTATAATTAGTAAAACGCTTTCAAGCAAATTCAAATACCCGTACTTTTAAACCTTAGGATGTTGCATACTTTTTATTTTATTTTAGAAAGCGCTGCTGTTCAATTATTTACATTTTGCAAATCTTTATAGCTCAATTTTTGTCCATTTCTCTTTTGATACGCTTAGCTTTTTTGATCCAATTATACTGGCAATCAAACGATGAACATTATAGACAAGCATTTACTAACATATGAGAGGACGCCGAATAGTTGGCTTTGAATTTTGGAAAATTCACAACTTAGTAAGTGAATATGGTTAAACTCGCGTTCAAGGTAATGATAAAAGGATATTTGATGCCTTGATTTTGTTCTCTTCTATTGCAAATATTTATTTTCGATACCACCTGCTTCTACTATTAAAGATCTAAGCATTTTGCGTTTGAGTTTTCAGTAACTATTATTATTCAGCTATTTTAATGGTAATAAACTAAGAAATTAATCGAAGTAAAATAGACTAATGATTCAGTGTATCTAAACAACCTGTGATTACTGATATGCTGACTTATATTTCAAAGCCAATTCGAAATTTTATGCTTTATGCTTTATTTCGGTTGGACTAAAAGAAATCATGAGGCTTAGTTGTATGTCTAATAGACTGGAATATCAAGCCAAGAAGTCACTTTTTTGATTCTCCCACAAAGATCTTTTTGAGATCATTTAGAAAAGCCTAGTTAAGAGGGAATCAATCGTTCAAAAATAATAAGGAACAGAAATGTAGGCACGGTGACAGGAACATAGTCAGAGCAGTGTGGACCATTAGATCATACAAATGATTGCAAATTTGATTTGAATTCTTGAGAATGATAACTTCATCTTAATTGTAAAATGTAAAACATATTGATAAAATGAGTTATTTACATACGCCAAATGTTTCATATATTTATCCAAGTATTGATGGCAATAACAAAAGAAAGAACATGTTGTTCCATTAGCTAATAACCATATATGATCACCGCTATATGACTCAAATTGAGTTTTAGCGAGTTAAACGGAAAATAGGATAATAAAAAGAGAAATGCTTTTATGGAGTATAATAAAGCGTTTGTATGACCATTTAATAAAACTTATAATATCAATATAAAAATTATTTGTAGAACAGAATAAATGAATTCTGGTGATACATAGTACTTATTTTGGAAAAAAACAAAAGTAGAGCATATTCAGTATTTTGAAAAATTAAGCAATCCACCATTTAAAAATACTTAATTTCATTTTTTGAAAAGAAACCATTTAAGAACTATAACTGTATAAAAATATTTTATTAAATGCATATAACTTGCACATAACAAATTTTAAGAAAATTTATAACATAGTTTTGAAAATCAAAAAATTAAATGATAAAAAATTAATAAAAAATAATCAAAATTACTATTATATAATTTATAATTACATCGACTGTGCAATTGCTTGTTTTAAATTACGTGCTGTTTGCACCCGCACCTTACTTGTTAATTTTTCTCGTGAAGTGAACATGCGATACCTTGCTGCCTACCTTTTGGCTCAAATGGGTGGAACTAGTCGTCCACAAGAAGACGATATTAAAACCATCCTATGTTCTGTCGGCGTTGAATATGAAAATGAGCGCGTAAAAAAGGTAGGTAGTTGTTTTGTTAGTTTTGATTCGTGCTAGCTCATTCAAGATATGCACGGCAAGAACATAAACGAGCTTATGGCTGAGGGCCGAGCAAAGATGTCTAGCCTCTCCTTCGGTGCTGCTCCCGCTGCCGCAGCTCCAGCCGGCAATGCCCCAGCTGCTGCTGCTTCTGAAGCTCCTAAGGGTGATGACAAGGCCGCTCCAGCGAAGGAGGAAAAGAAGGAGGAGAGTGAAGAATCCGATGCTGATATGGGCTTCGGCTTGTTTGACTAAGCCTTTTTGCCAATAAATGGAATATTCGATTAAATTGTCATGCCTCTGAATTGTCTTGATACTTGGTAGTATATCTATGGCTATTATTATAATATCTTACTCGCATTGTGTTCTGGCGTACTAACTCACTTGTTTTTGCAACATTGCCCGGCGATCTTTTTATGACTTTACAAAACCAGCGATAATGTTCTTTTTATTCTTGCTTCACTTGGATGGTACTGTCACAAATCGTTTTTTACCTAGCAATTGCACGTTTCTTTCCTCATAGACTTAGCGTGGTTTATTGTAAATACCATGCAATGCTATGTTTTTTTGGGGCGGGACCTTCGATTATCAAATTCGAGGTTTTCGATGTTTGCTGTTTTAATGTAGTGGGGTTAATTTTTGAGATGTTATTCTCCTTTTCCCAACAGGCTTCCGTTTTATTAATAGAGACCACTGCACTTATTACTTGTCTTTCTTAATAGCCTGGTAGATAATGGCTACCATGTCGGATTTTGTTTAAATGCTTGTGTTACCCACAGTTGACATTTATGTATCACGTTGAAGTAATGACTTCGTCTCCAATCGTATATTAGCTTTTAATATGGGAGGTGGGGTGTCTTCAAAGTAGCTGTTGTACGTAAAGCTTGAGACCATCTGAGGTATGGGGGAAGTTTTGTATTTCAACTACTTCAATAAATTGGGTCAAACACAAAAGTGAACTCTGCTGTCAAATTTGGCTGTTGGACATTTCAACTAATAACCGTAGTTCTCTTCCTGAAATATGAACTTCGCCACGTGATCCATTGAAGTGTTCTCACCCAGTAAAAAGTGAACGACCGGGGCAAATGCTGGTTTAAATTAGACGCAGGCGTAGCTCTATTTCTAATGTACCTCGTTCCCTTTTATTCCTCATGAAGTATATTAAATATGTAAAATTGTTATTAATTTTTAACTGTGCGATAAAATGCGCAGCTCTATGTTGTCGGTTTCTTGTGGAGCTTAAAAAAATTATATAAAAATCTTCATATAGTAATATACTGTATTAATAAATTTCGTGATATGCCTCAGGTTTCACTTAATCTTGCAGTGTGTAATACATCCGATTATTGTAGAAGTAATCAAGAAAAAGAGGCAAGCGAAGCCAAATATCGATATCCAAAAGCGGAACCTTAAGATATACGCCTTGATTGTGCTAAGACATCCCTACAAAAGAGAATAAACTGACCATTGAAAACAGTTATCAAATTAAAGAGGCAAATGACTGGATAAACAATGGCATACTCGGTAGTATAAGGCGTCGTTGTGTGCCCCACTGGGGAATTTCGGCGGTCCATATTGCCAATTTTGACATCTTGGTAGATTTTCATATTCATCTGTGAGCTGACGAGTTAAATAATCCAGCTTTCGATAGCAGCATGTCTTGGGAACATATTGAAACGCCGGATTGGTTGCTGAAATTATACGAATAATATCGTTCGGCAGGCTTAACTATGTTAAAACTGATTCCAAAAACCAGCTTCCTTGTATTTATGCTATTTCAGATGGGGTATTCTTGTCTTAACTCCTAATTGTGGTGATTTTGGTTCTTTTCGACTCCAACAATATAATTATGTCTACGGCAACATATAATGTTTAATTACTATGGATAAAATGGACTCAATGCAGGTAGCTTGATCAAGGAAGATAGAATATAAATAAGCGTAGGTGATGTGCAATTATCATTATGAATACGAATGTTAGTCATACGAATATGCAAATTTGTATATCAGTGCATAATATAGAGAAGCGCACTTCTTATCTGTCTTCTACCTTTGAAGGATATCTGAGCTTTCGAAGTATAGGAATCTTATTTTAGTAAACTTCCTCATTCATTCTCAAAAGTTACCACCTAAGTAATGAGGAAAAGGTCAAGGGTTACTGCACTTTATGTTATTTGACCTGGGGTGTGCGATAGACTTACCTCCACGTGGTACACCCTGGGCAACGTATATTCATACGGCAAAAAAGTTTATTAGTCGGCAGTTGACTTCTCACTTTAAACTACTATCACCCCACTGTATGTCATATTCCACCACTTCCACATTACTCACCTCACCTTTTTCTACCTTTGTGTTTGTCTCTTACATCTTTGAAACACTTCTGTTTCCCCCTATCGACTTTTTTTCAATTTGATGTTCCTTCCTCTCTGTGAAGCCTGTAGAGAGAATGAACGTCAAAGTAACAGAAAGTCGATGGGTGGGGAACAGAAGAGTGGTTTACAGTTGTAAAAGAGACAGACACAGAGACAGAGAAAAAGGTAAAATGATTACTGTTGAAGTGGTAGAATATGGCATATAGTGGGGTGATGGTAGCTTGAAGTGAGAAGTCAACTACCGGTTAATAGACTTTTTTGCCGTATGAGTATACGTTGCCCAGGGAGTACCACGTGGAGGTAAGTCTATCGCACACTCCAGGGTTAAATGTCGGAACACAGGTTGGGTAGTGTAAACAACTACAATGCGGAACGAAGTAGCCCAGACCCTAAGCCGACAAAAAGTCAGCAACACCGGGTAGCTTAGTCTGCTACTATTCCTCCATTGGAGGTACGTCACTGAAGACCAGGAAAGCGAATGAAAACTTCAGGATTGGAATATTTGCCAGTAGAAAGCTGATGCACATGACTTAACGAGAATGACGCCATGTTTAATCCATTATACCAACAGTCATGTCGGAATTAAAATTCATTTTGCAATCATATAACAAATTTCTAAAGATTTATTTAAAATTACACTCGTGAAAGAATGACTCTACAAAATGAAATGAAAAATATTTCAAAAGTGATAATAAATAGCTCAAGGCAACATATAAAGTAGATTTTCTCTGGGAATTAGTCATACTGGGCGTTTCCCCATTTCCCTCCTCGTTTTAGCCTGAATTCATTACATGCAACATTCATGCAATTCCTCAGAGTGAATTAAGAAAACTATGCCTTGTACTTATGTTGATAGAACTGAGATAAAAGAACGTATCTTCGGTGAAAAAAGCTTCTCCAGTGTCCCAATAAATAGATATATGATTCAAAATTTGACACTTAGGGTATGTAATAGAATTACTTCCACGTGGTGCACCCAGGGTAACGTATACTCATACGGCAAAACAGTCAATTATCCGTCAGTTGACTTCCCACTTCAAACAACCATGACCCCACTGTATCCCATATGTGACCACTTCCACAGTACTCACCTTACCTTTTCTCTGCCTTTGTGTCTATCTCTTTTACATCTTCTGTTCCCCCCTCTCGACTTAATTTGCCTCTGATGTTCCACCCCTCTGTGAAGCTCGAAGTCAGCTAAATGGCTAATGATAACTATAAAAAGTTTGCCATTTGACAGAAATAAATAGTTAAATCTGATACTTTTAATTCCAATATCCGTGATTGCTCCTTAATCTCTTAACCCTCGCGAAAAATGAAGTTCTGGCGTTCATAATAGAGCAAAAGAACAGTTTGAAATATTTGTTTAAATTCATGAATTAATGGAGATTAGTGATGAGGATAAAGTCAAATGGTTATATTCTTCTGTTAATCAAAACCGATCAAATATTTCTAACGAGGTAGCAAAAATGATCTAGATTGATTTGCTAAATCCGATTGGTATCTATATAAATTTTTGTTGAAATATTCCATATAGCCCGAAGTCAGCTAAAGGACTAATGGTAAGTATCATAAAGCCCGCCATTTGAAATAAACAAATATTGTTGAGGTAGCTTGATCAAGTTTGGAAGCAACTTAATCAAGGGGAATTTGCAATAGAGATTGGTAAGTTTGTGGGACACGTCATCGCATGCCTGTACGCCAGGATTGGGAGGTGCGACCGTACAAACAGTGATCAATCATCAACCTGTGTTTGTTTAACCTAATCCGCCATCCTGATCATGATTAAGCTCCCTGCGTGTACACTTCATCCGCAATATACTCACTGAATAAACGTGCTCCGTGCCACACGTCTGTTTCCTTTCATAGCTGGGCTATAGCATGGCTAGTTCTGGGAGTCTAACTAGGTGTAGGAGAATCTGCCACAGAGATTTCTGAGTCAGTCTGGCTTTAATGAAGTAGCAAACCGCTCCAAGTTCTTTTAAGGTTTTTTTGCGTAAAATATTCAAAAAGGCAAGATTACTCTCAAAATGGACAAAATAAACATAAATTAGATAAGAAAGATCGTAATTTATATGTGTAAAATGGATTGTTTAATGAGTGTTAAATAAACAAAGGCCTCTACATAGAAAAATTGTGTATTCAGTTAATGAGTTATGCAATAAAATGAAAACAAAATAAATAAATATTCTAAAACTAAACATATCAAAATAGTCGAATAAACCTGGAATCAATTGAAGATCATCGAGGAGCATGGAATTTCCGTCTTGAAACCAGCTGGAATTTTGCCATACAATCCATCCATTGTCGTCAACGGCACAGCAGAGCAGGTAACTTTGAAGGTGATCCCAAGCAGTTGTTATTAAAGCAGAGGTTCCGTAATTCTCCTTCAAATTCTTCAACATTACTTCTCTTACAGCCGATGAGGACTAAGAATATTGTAAAGAAATCACAGAGGGAATTTTACGATAGATTCAATGATCAATAAATTCAAATAAACTAAAATCGATTATTTTTAAATAACAATTTTTTTATAAAACTAAGACCGATAAAATATCGCATTAAAGTGTATGGAATGACGAATTTTTATCAAGACTTACATTGAAAGGAAAAGCTATGACAAGTAGAAGTCCAGCTGTAAGAACAATAATTAAAAGAATGGACCCAAGAACAAGCTAAAAACAAAAATAAGACCGATGATAAAATTCCCAAATATGTGCAACTTCTAACTTCGAAGCGTAAAAATACAGAAGTTAAAGCAAAACATGACAGTTGGAAACAGTTAAAATCAAAAGAAAGTGCGGCAAAAAAGTCTATTAATCGGCAATTGACTTCTCACTTCAAACAACCATCACCCACATACTGGCAGTTGCTTTCTGACTTCAAACTACCATCACCCCACCGATTCGACCCCTACCACTACTCATCTTACCCTTTCTGAGCCCTTGTGTCTGTTACTTTTACATCTTTGAAACACCCTTCTATTCCCCCTCCTGAATTCTTATCACTTTGATGTTCCTCCTCCCCTCTGTGAAGCCCGAAGTCAACCAAAGTTGTTCCTCCTCCCCTCTGTGAAGCCCGAAGTCAACCAAAGAGCTAATGATATCTATCAAAAGGCCTGCCATTTGTTATTAATAAATAAATATTAAGACGTTCAATTGAATTTCAAATAATAATATAATTCAAAATTTTTAATATACTTGGAATTATAAATTTGAAAGAAAATGAAGTTCAGAAATTTATAAACGAAACATTTAAGCAGATAATGAAAAGAAGCAAATAACCTTTTATTAATTTAGGTTAGGAGAGTGAATAATTTAACCTACAATGAAGACGAAGAAATGGTTTTTCGCAGTCATTCCACACATTCCTATGAATGCAATCCAAACAATGCATAGACTGGCAAAAAGAACAATGTACATTCCATAATAGAGGTTGATCCCAAATGTTTGTATGAATTCACTATGTGTATATATAGCCATTAAGCTCACAGCAAAAGTACACATTCCAAATATCTAGAAACAACAAACACATTTTTTATTAAATCCTACTTTATTAAAATAAGAAACATATTGACAAAACTTACAAAGCTAAAGAGGCAAGAAAAATCCCCAATTGCTCTAACACAACAACTTCCATAGCAAAGCCCAGGTTCAGAAGTAGATTTGGAAAGCATTCTAGAACAAAAGAATGATGGTTCAAAATAATAACGAAAACATCACTCAAAGCTAAAAATTAATTCAGTATAAAAATAAAATTTACCATTCAAGATATTTTGAAATAGCTCATAAAGTATAGTATTTACTATGATGTTAATTGACTTATTAAAACAAATATGACCTAAAATAAAAATTTTTATTAATATTCTTTTAATTATTTTATTTGAATTAGTGTTATATTGCTTATGTAGAATAATGCTATATAAGTGAACATATTGTTAGGATTCAATATTCTTTATTCTTGATTTAAAAAATATGTTAACTACGTGTTTCATTAATTATTGCATCTTTCGTTCACTATAATTGAAAGCCCTAAAATTTCTTATGCAGCTAAATGATGTCCGCGTATTACATTTATTTCTTTTCGTCCAATCGTTGCTCAGCTGTTGGTTTTTCTCTTTTAATGGATTTATCGAAAATATCAGAATTCCGCCAGAAGGTATAATTATTTCCGGTGAATTACTTCGCTTTAGAATGAGTTAAATTTTAATGTGGAGAGCATACCAGATGAAGAAAAGAGTGTGAGTAAATATCGTCTGATTTTTTTTTGTTCTAGTAACATTTATTTTTAAAATGTTCACAATTTTAGACTATATTTTCCAAATGCATGATCCTTTTGAAGAACCAAGATGTCGAAAATGTCGCAGATGCTCTCACTTGCTTTCTCATTCTTAGTCGTGATCCTGAATACCATAAACAGCTTGCGGAAAACGACGTCCTCTCCATTTTGATTCGCGAGGCTGGTCTTTTACCAAATTCACCCGAACGTCCCCACGATAGCATTGTTATTGCCTTGAAATGTCTTTCCAACGTTCTCTTTAAAAATGCATCCGCTATTCAGTGCCTCAGACTAAATCACTGTCTTGACACCTTGCTTGAACGTTGTGAATCACAAGTCAAATCCCCAACAGATCTTAGAATTTTACAATTTGATATCAAGCTTCTCTTTCTGTGCTCAGCCCTAGAATCAGCTTCTCGGCTGGAAATTCTCACCTCCCATTTTGAGTCAGAATTCTTTACTGATTTCCTGCAATGGTCTCTTAAAGCCGACTACACCGCTCAGCCGCAAATTTTCAATATTACAATCGACATGCTTAAATTTATTTTTAATTTATGCTATGCTAAAAGAGAACGAGATTATGATCAAGTAGGTTGTGTGCCTATCTTAGTTAAGTGATTATCAATCTTAGAATCTTTATGAGCCTACATTCCGTATTCTTACCACCAATATTCGGGACATGATTGTGAAACCTGTTACACCTATGGATCGCAAAATGGAATTGGTTAGGTATGTCCCATTTTGTTCTTTTCAATCGTTTCTCTAGTCACTTGGTGAATTTTTTGACTTCGGTGCCATTATCTTGCTTCACGGAGCTGCTCTTCCCCCCATCGAATTTGGATGAATCGTTAGCGAAAGTCGATCTACATAGTGATTCAAATGTTACATTGGCTTTGGCCGTTCTTGTGGATTTTCTTGAATATCAATTGGATCAGGTCAATCGGTTACTTATTTATTTTTTAGTTGTAAACTTTGGTTAATGGATAGAGAGAGTTAATTAATGGGGCTGATGATCTTACTCTTTCAGTCATAATCTGCCCTGAAGGTATGCAGTTTTTGCATGCATTTACCTTAGACTGTTCTCCTCAGAGATTTCACCCTAGCCTTTCCTAGTTTACTAAATGATGGGCTGAGTGGTGTAGTTTTTTACTTTATGCTTTAAGGTTTTACATTCGAGTGTTGTTAGTTTTCTTCTGAATCTGAGCGATATCACGACGAGAGCACTTTGTTCGCTTGATTGAACTGGGTTGTTCGTCATATTGTTTCAAATTTATGACCTTATTGAATAAGTTAGGTGTCGCCTCAAGTAGCAGTTGTACGTGCTTTATATCTTGTCCTACTCAAAATCGTGCGAAGGCATTGTCTTCACTTAAGGAAAAAATGTATCGTAATAACTAGAATGTGTTATGTGGTCAAATTCTCTAGAATGCGGCCCCTATCGGAGGTTTATTTGCGGTAAGTGTTTAGTTCGCTCCGCATATAACATGGATCGCGCTACTATCTATTATTCAGAGGGAATGTAGTTTTAAAACATTCCGTCCAGTGAGATGTTAATGGCTCTCCGAATTCTGAATTTCTGTAATTTGAAGAATATATTGGAGTTAAACGTGATTCTACTAATAGCTTATGACTCAGCAATGCTACTGATTGGTGCGATATCCATTGTGCCTTTCTTACTGATTTATTGTTATTTGTGATTTCGGTGTGTTTTCTTATCTAGCCCTACTCTTAGTATTTTCAACGTTTATTTAAACTAGTGTTTTATGGTTCTACGTATTCAGGGCAGGACAGCGGCAGAGACCTGAAACAATTATTGTCTTCACGACCAGATATCAGCTTGCCTGTGTGGCGATATAGGCTTGGGTTTAAGCCCCCTACCCCTTAAATTATATTAATATATATATATATATATATTTAATGAAGCTCACTTTGATCATAATAAGCATTTAGGTTGTGTGAAATGGTAGGAAATATCCATACGTTTCCTCTAATTATTTATTTATATTTATTTCAAATGGCAGGTGGTTTAATAGCTATCATTAACCCTTTAGCCGACTTCGGGTTTCACAGAGAGGAGGAGGAACATTAAAGTGACAAAAATGTAGAGAGGGGGACAGAATAACGATTCACAGATGTAAAAGAGACAGGCAGACACAAAGGCAGAGAAAAGGTAAGATGAGTATTGTGGAAGTGGTGGAATATGACATACAGTGGGGTGATGGTAGTTTAAACAGACACAAAGGTAGAACAAAGGTGAGGTGAGTACTGTGTTACACGAAGGTAGAGAAAAAGGTAAGATGAGTACTGTGGAGGCTTAGAAAAGGTAGGAAAAAGGTGAGGTGAGTACTGTGGAAGACACAAAGGCAGAGAAAAGGTAAGATGAGTATTGTGGAAGTGGTGGAATATGACATACAGTGGGGTGATGGTAGTTTGAAGTCGGAAGTCAGCTGCCGGTTAATAGACTTTTTGCCGTATGAGTATGCCTTGCCCAGGGTGCACTACGTGGAGGTAAGTCTATCGCACACCCCTCTTAACTAATATAATTTATACGAAACCTGTAAGTGCGACTCACACGAAATACTGAGGTCCAAGTTTCCAGCTGATGGTAAAGTACTCAATTCGGCACTAATTCATCGTCTTTTCCGTTTTGCTTTAATAGAACGATATGGCACCTGCTCGAGCCCCCCAACTTCTCTCGCCAATTCTAACAGTGATTGCAACTGCGTCGAAAGCCAATCGGACTATTCGCAAGTACTTTCGTATGATAGTACGCTATTTCGCTATTCTTTGGCATTAATAATAACGCTCTCTTTATTTCCAATTCATTGCAAAGCGCAATGGGTTGGGCATGACACCAAAGAATTAGGTGTTTCATTCAACCATTCAGGTGGCAATGAGGTAATTTTATTAACTAACAATTAATCGGAATAAGCGTCGACTTGTCTATGATAAATAGTCACAATCATTGACCAAAATTAATGGAATATTAATGTCTAATGATGAATTTTATGGTGCTGTATATACCTTCAGAGCTTACCTCGGGGTCCATTTTTGAATTCTTCAAGCTAAATTAATATAATGTGTAAAAAACTAGGATTTGGGTACTTCAAAATGGCTATTATAATGTGTTATTCACTGAAAAAATTGTCACAAGTATGGTAATTAACCACTCATCTCTTCATCATATGTTTGTTGGATAAAGCTAGCGAATGGTTCTTGATTTATGACCTTAATGCCACTTAACCAGTAAGGTGGTGGTTAAAAAGCAGCGTATTAATTTTTTCGTATTTGTTCTCGTAGATTCTGCCCCCTCTCGGGTCGGATGTCAAACGCTTGCCGGAATCTGGATCCACTCTCCGAAATAGGTAACTGATCGGCCATCCTCATTTCGTTCGGGCAAATATCTCATTATGCCAAGCCCTACTCGTTTGCTCTTTCTAGACTCTGCAATAGACTAACAGCGAAACTTCACAACGACGATGGAACTGCTGAAGCCACTGCTCTGCTGATATTCATTCTCTGCAAGGAAAAAGGTGAGATCACGACAATATCTTCAATCCCCATCCATTGGCTTTACTTTATCGTGACAGTGAATTAATAATCCCACTTTCCTTATTTCTAGTGGATAGAGCAGTGAAGTACTCTGGTTTCGGAAACTTTGTCGGATTTCTTTCACGCCACGGTCTACTTGCAAGATCTTCTGGAAGTAGCGATGGAGACGATGGTACCTATTCACCTGAATCCTCAGATTCTGAGACAGAGGAATATCGAGTTCTGAAGGATCAAGTGAATCCAGTAACTGGACGCGTGGAACCACCACGTCAAGACCCTATGGAAGGTCTCAGTGAAGAACAGAAGGAATACGAGGCAATACAACTTGTGAACAAGATTGACAAGTTGCAGAGGTGAGCTTCTTAATGTGTGGTTGTATTAATACTCAGTCTATAATCACTTTCTTCAAGAGCCCATTCAGGTCAGAAACGGAAGTTAATATTATTTAGAGTTTTTATTCGTTCTCGTTCGATGGGTGAAGTGAGTCTACTTATTATTAAGTGAGTAGACCCCTAAACAAACTCCGGTCGTTGTACTATATCGTGAATTAATATGAATAGCGTCCACCGGTGGTATAACTGTAATGTCAGAGACAATGGTTTCTTTACGTAATTTGTGAATCGAACGGCCAATTAGGTTGTCAAGATGCTTACCCGCGTTGAAACCACTTCTTTTATTGGGTTTTTGAGCGCATGGTGTTTTGTGTTTGACCTTAAAAATTAGTGGATTCATCAATGGAAAGCATTAATGATTTTTTGTCACATTTACCATATTCGCCTTGTTGCGTTTCCTTTTGCAAAAAAATGCTTCTAGTAGGGAGGTGGGAATATCTGTGAACAATTTACGGCAATTTCCTGCCTTAACGGCTATTCTACTCCTCTTCTCAACGTATTTATTTCCCTGTAGCTAATTGTCAGCAACGGAAGAGAATGTCACAATGAATATTTCAGTGTACTTACGGTTTGAGCCATTGTTTTTGCCGTTGATTTGACATCTCCTTTACGTATATGCTCGCGTACCGTCGAACAATGTCTCTCTTATAAGCTATGGGGCGTTCCCTCCTTATTTATTTATATCAAATGGCAGGCGTTTTGATGGTTGT